CTGTGTGGACCCAATGACTAGTAAAAAGAACTGCGCTTTATAACTTCAAGGAAGAGGTGCATTATAAATGCCAGTACCAGTTACCGGTTGTTACTGCTACTGTTATTATTTTTATGTTAACATTTAATGAGTGGTAGTTTTTTGAACAATCATTATTGCTCTAACATTGACCTAGTACAAGTACAGTACATTCAATAACATTTGATTTACTCAACTTAATTGCAGTTGGAGAGATTGGTGATGCTTTACAGATGTCTGAGGATGCATTCAATTCCAAATATGGTCATAAGAAACCAGATAGCAATCAGAGTGATATTGTATTCTATTGTCTAGGTGGAGTCAGGAGTAAGAAGGCTTTAGACACAGCACACTCACTTGGATATACCAAGTAAGTAAAATGATATTTTTTTGTCTCTTTTTCTCTTCAGATGCACTAGACACTTGGCTGATGAGTTGATATAAAAGGTTATGTTAACTTGACCCTGTAATCCTTTTTAAACCCCAACTTGGCAGTGACCTACGCTCTAAAAAATCACACACTGGTGACGTTTTCCTGAAAAAGTTAAACTGCCAACAACAGATTACAACTAGACATAGAACATAGGGCTTTTCCTCATTGACATACAGTAATGAGAAGTGATGTCAAAATTATGAAGTAAAAAAAAATTGTTATAAAGTTATAAAGCAAAAAGAAGTACATTAAAAAGTAAACAAAAAAATCATTAAAAAAATTATGAAGTGAAGAAAAATAATGAAAACCCACTCAACTTCAGTGAGGTTTGAACCAGGGCTGCAGTGGTAATATGAGGGTGGTGTTGAGATTATGGCTATAAAACCTGACCCTTCATTGCCTGCCTTGCATAATTTCACAGATTAAGGGAGAAAATTGTTCATGCAGTGAGACTGGCGATTCCATTACTTTCTCCAATGCTCAACTGAGCCGTAGGTTTCACCATACATTTTCAAATGTCTCTGATGGTCCTTTCATCCCAAAATTAAATCACCTCTTTTCTAAGCCTATGTCTACCACTCCATTATACTGTATTTTACGATGATTCATTGTATGAAGTTGAATGGCTGAGCGGCTAAGTCAGGGGGCACCGCAACGTACGCTGGTTTGAACTGCATGCTTGTCTGTGATTCTGGTGGTGGAACAAGTCTTTTGAGATGACTATAAACTGTATGCCCAGTGTACACCATTTGACCCATGTGCACTTTAAAGAACCCAGTACATCTATTGAGATGAGCAGGGTGTTAACCCCAGTGTTCTGGTCCATACAGCATCTGTTGTGGACAGACGAGAGTAGCTGGTACCGATTTACTGGGTAGCTCGGACATGAATAGACCCTTAGCTGTGAAGAAAGTGTCATTATACGAGTTATTCTACACATCGATGCTTTGCGATTATTTTTGTATTAAAGCGCTGTATAAATCCAACTATACATCATAAGTTTATTAGCACCACAGACAATTGTTGATGAATACATAACCTCATCTGTGGCAGTAATAAAATGCAAACCGATTTGAATAATTTCTTAACTCTATTTTCTCTTTTAGGGCAAGACATTTTAAAGGTGGTTGGATGGAGTGGGCTGAACAAAATAATCTACCGTTACCTGAGTAGTAGAATTGAGGTTGTATTTTGTCAGCAAGAGATGAAAATGTTGGAATAATTTTTTTATTTAAATGTAAGAACAGTTGATGGTAAACAGATATTAAGAGATTTTAAGAGAGTTACTAAAACTAACCAGACGTCTGTGAGGGTCGACATTCCTATGCAGTGTTCCATGACAAAATCATTGGCTTCTCGTCAGTGAAAGTTCTTGTTATCATGTTTCATGATATAATGTAACAGATATGGTATATACTTCCCCAGGGGCTGGAATCAAGATATTTATTTTAAAAATTCGTAATTCAGGTAGAAATATTAAGGACTTCAATGTCCTAATCTAAAGCAATAGTATGTTCCCTAGAGTCGTAATAAAGTTGTGTATTGCTTTAAAAGTTTATCAAAAAATCAATAAGCACAGTTACATGACCAATATACATGTATGATGTATGCAAAAATTCAAAACCAACAGGTGTTTGGAAACTGTGAAGTTTGCTTGATTTCAAACTTTCAACGAATTTGATGATGTCAATATCACAGACACATCCAGGCCATTGCAAATGTTCCTATTGCTTTACAGCCTAGAAGCCAATATATATACAGGAGTATTGTATTATAACTGTAGATCAGGACTGGAAAAAGTGAGCGACGGTTTTGTACTTTTTTCCCCTCTAGACAACCACTATTAGTATACAGAAAATATTTGTACTGGAGGCATTTTGTGAAGATAATTTCATTGTCGGAGGCAAAAATTTTTTTTTTTTTCCAGGTCTGCTGTAGATATAGATTTTATAAATTTAGGTGATTATATAAAAAGCACTAACAAAACAATGTATGAGGAACAACCTAAGGATATATTAGCTATAGGATTATATGTAGATTATATTGTGTATAAGGTTATATAAATCTCTGCGTTCCTGTTTATACATAGCAGAATAACTGTACTGTAAAGTAAAAATGATCTCCAGAGTTAGTCAAAACACTAGGATGCATTTGTTCCAGAAATTTTTAATTGCTTAAAGCTACGTTCACATCAAGCCCGGATCCGGTCCGGAGCCCGGATAAAAAATTGTGAGTTACTACGTTTTTTGAACGCTGCGTTCACATAGCGCGCACGAAACACAGCTGTTCGGGTTAAGTACGCGTGCGTTTGATTGGTCCGTACCAATCAAGCTTGTTGCTGATTGGTCCAAAAAAAAGAAAACGTACGATTTCAGGATACAAATGGCTCTCAGATCCATTGGTTCAGATACGTACGAATTTGATGTGAACAGTACCATTCTTTACCACTGAACCCATTTTTCACGATTTTTTCTCCGGAATCCGGGCTTGAAGTGAACGTAGCTTAACTCAGGGAATATATAATAAAAAAATGAAAGTGGAAATGGTTATTTCAGCTGTTTGTGTGTGTTACTTGTAACTAGGTCATGTCATGTGATAGTTGTAAATTATGAGGTCCCTAAAGTTGGTGTACACATACATTCTCCCCCCCCCCCCCAATTTTTGGTGTAGCTATCCGTTTCTTTCTATTCCTGGATCAGCATACAGTAGATGCTTACACCGTACTGAAGATTCAACTGACAAGCATATCATTTAGATGTTAATTGAATTTGATGTATATTAAATAGGAACATTGAAACGATGGATGCTAGCTCATGATATCCTGACGAAGTAATGTTGATAACATCGACAAAAAGCTTGCATTACGTGTACATTCATTGTGTTGTACAATGAATATGTGTAACTATCATCATAACATTCACTCACATACAGTGGCAGCACTACATGGAAAGGGGAAATCCCCATGGGGATGTCCCCCACCCCACCATATCATATCAATCGCTATAGTGAAATTGATGCAGTGCATTCGCTAATGCGGTAGCGTGCTTATCACGATCAATAACGGCAATATCTCTGGTCTGCTATGTTGAAAGACATTGCCACCTCAAATTTCAGACGCTGGCGCCAGCACTGCTGACATACAAAAAATAATGAAACATGCATCCAATACAGCAACAGCATATATTTCAAATTCATCTGAAAAGATAATTTTCAAAGGAATCATTTTAACTGATGGTATAACAAAATCCTTCATTAAAATACATTAATACTCAATTCATAGCTGATGTTACATAATTGTTAGACCAATTAAACCTAATAATTTTTAGTAACCTCTAAATTTGGTGGGTACATTTATAGGTAAACACGAGCACTTGGGCAAATTATTTACAGGTATTGTATTTACAAGTCTGTACAAGTGTTGAGAATGTACATTGTACAGGTGAAGATAAAATAATACAAGTAATTAGCAAACCAGTAACTTATAATAATACTTGCAATAAAAATTCTAGAATAGGTAATTTAAAAGACAGATTTAACAAACAAAAATTGGTGAGAAAAAATATATTGTATACATTTTTAAATGGAAGCAACTCAAATACAGTTACTAATATTGTTATAAGGTTAATGCTATACAAAAAAATATATCTGAAGACATAAGATTATTGTAAGTTTACATTTCCTGCCGTGGTTGCAAATATCCGTCTGTGATTGCATTGCAGATGGGCTATGGAAGGGTACTGTTTACTCACAGAATCATTATTTTTTGTATTGAATAATGTGATGCTGGTGGCACTGCCAAACTGTACCAACTCACGTAAGTGCAGCTCAAAGGTACACAATCAATATTGTATATTTGAAAATTTAAAGGCAATATCTCATGAATATGGAAAAATATTAAATAGTGTATGTAAAATAATCCGATTCACAGGCTTGTTATTGCTAATTCTTACCATGTTCTAACCAATCAATTTAAGGGTCTATGCAAAGGAAAAATATTCAGTATTTAGAAAAGGTCTTATTCATGTGAACTATGTTTTTTTTTTTATTCTAAGCCTTTTATTTTTTTACAGAATTGTTATACTGTACTAGATTTGAAATTTTATTACAGTATTTAGGACTACTAGCTCAGAAATGTATAGCACACTAGTGCTAATCCTAAGACCAATCTTGCACAATGAATTCATGAAATTCTGGATTGTGTTGTGATAGACACTTATTTTGATAGAATAATGATACTCATGTGCCTTAACATACAATAGGTTTTTCAATTAATTATCTTGTTAAAAACCTATGTGAACATTTCCATATAACTATAGGATTGTCAATCAAACAACATATTCACAAGTCAATTCATACTGTAGTTCTGTCAGAAAGTAATAATACAATGGATAACAAATGGATTAACCACACAGCAAGTGAATAAAACCCTATTCAGAAGACTGTCGCAGAAATTACATAACATTTACATTGTACGGTATTGCGTGCATATCGTCAAATCTAAAGCACCTACAGATGGAAGTTGAAAACACACTTTTAAGATATACAAATAAATATCTCTATTTTAAAATGGTGGACATAAGAAAAGTATGGAAGAACAAAGCCAACAACTTGTCTTCAGAGCTAACATTATATTTCCTGTCAAATTTTACATTACATATTTATGTAAAATTGGTGATGTTTAATTAAACTTATTTACTGGTTTTAAAACATCATCTATCCTATCAAATACATTTAGATACACAGTACAAACAGGATATCGTTGTCCGTAAAATAGCTAGTCTTTTAGTTCATTACATGCGATTCGTATGTGGGGACCATATATTTGATGTTGATAAATGCATCGTCACCACCATGTCGTTCAAAGGCCTCTAGTGTTTCTTGGATCAAATCACCGATGTTCGTTCTCCTTTGTTGACTGTAATCAATTCTATCGCCGCAATTTAGATTGGCATTCTTGAAGATGTTCAACACCGGAAGGATTTGCCTGTAGTATGGAACCAGAGCTTCTCCAACCACCTCTGCAGACACAACCAAATGCTGAAGAACTTTCAGAGTTGTGCAAATTACGTCAGGATTCCTCATTTGGAGGGCTTGCTTGATTGGGATAATAAGTTGTGGTATGACTGGTAAAATTTTGTTTCCACCGTGTTCTAACATGTCGTGGACACCTTGTCGGGAGAAGAAGTCCCAGGGATGCTTTGTCTCGCACAGACCATCAAAGAACATTGGCAGGTAGTGATGGTAATCCAATTTCTCAATCTCAACCTGACATGAAGAAAAAAACACAAGCATGTAGTACCCTATATTAAATGCATTGTAGGCGTGCCAAAGTGCATTTATGCAAATTAGAAATAAATTTAGGCTAGGAATGCCAATGAACACACTGACAGCCCCCCCCCCCCCAAACCTCCCTGGACAATTTTACTCAATCAGTTTCGCTGTCTTATTTATATTTATTAATGTTGAAATATTGAAACGATGGCGTGCATTTTGATACTTGGAGTATGTATTACACTATCTTATCTGAGATTAATCAGTGGACCTTTCGGCTGTCTCATTAAGCACAGACATTGAAGAAGGCATGACGAAAAGGATAAAAATTCATAAAAATAATCATCATTCCAAAAATATAGCCTCCTTTCACTTTGCGGAACAGGCTCAGCCAACATATTAATTAATGAAAACCATAAATAAAAATAAAAATCAATTCGAAAAGAGTAGGCTAGACCTCTAGGCCTAGGCTCCTACACATGCCAGTCAGTGTGGGGTGCCCTTTTTCTAAAATGAAGCCAGTCTAGGCTCTGGGCCTAGCCTAAGGCTAGGGAGGCCTAGTCTAGGCTAGCCTAACCTAATGTACTGAAGAAGGAAGTAGGCTAGGCCTAGGCCTAGGCGACAGACCAACCCACGATAGGCCTAAGCCTACAGCAATTAGAATCAATTATTCATTGCCAGGTAGGCCTAGTCCTTCCTAGGTCTAGGCCCTAGGCCTGGTGATAAAATGTTAAATTCATATTATACTGTACCTTCCACGCAATCTTGTTTCCCTTTGTATCATGTTCCAAAGCAATTGGGAAATCACCTCTTTCGTAGAATTTCCTGAATACTGTGGGTTTTGCAAGAGGTCTTTCAATAAACGCACCAGCACATGGTGGTGCCTTTACTTTTGCATTCTTCATTCTGGATTTCGTTGAAAACCCATCAGCCTCCAAACGTTTTTCAGTCTTCGTATTCTTCTTCCCAGTCTGACAATTTGATAACTCTAAAGGTTTAGCAACGATTATATTTGACATTTTGTGTATTCTGTATTGGATGGACGTTCTCAAGTATCTGAAACAAAAACACACTTCTCAATATCTGTCCTACCCGAATGCACAACACAACAATGGCGAAATGTTATGTACTCGGTTGTCAAGGGCTAGACTACACATAGCAACAGCAACAGCCTCGTGCATAAAGTGTTATATTAGCTTTTATATAATAAATACCCTTTATTTAATATCAGCTTAATTTTACTAATAATTAATAGACTAATATACATTTGAATATATTTAATTGTTAGCTCTATATTATTATTGCAAGTAAATTTAATATCATAATAACACACTATATAACATTATACAAGCACTTTGTTCTTAATAGGTTATAATAATGGGTAAGGGATTATATTTTATATATTTTTTTTATATCTAGAATCTATAATATATTGCTTGTTAAATTTACCAGATTACACCAGTTAATTAAAAGGTAAATACAATTTTAACTAATTATAAAATCGTAATCATTTTAACAATTTGTTTTTGATTTTTAAGAAAATGGCTCCAGAAAATGAAGTGACCTAAATACAACGTCATCATCACCATGGAGACGATATTCAGTACTTACAGTATTCTGTTTGTGTGGCATGCGATATCGACGAAGCCATGATGACGGAGTTTTTTAGGTAGATAGAAATACCAAACTGGAGATGGGCTGCCACGTTCTCGGTGCCAGATTTTAGGCCTAGATTAATGCATCATGTTTTATTTACTGTTTATTTAAAATATCTGTGAATTTCGATCTGATTTGAGACTGACTGATTAGGGCCTTAGGCCTATCTCTCCAAATATAATGACATGTTAAAACTACCAGCGCACGTCGTCTCCTTTTAATATACTCACTGTAGTTAAATTTTACCTCGTCAAACACAGCAGCAATGAAAAAGACTGAGGCATTGGTTTCTTGTTCGAACTGTCGCAGGACATTTGCACGATCAAGAGTGGTAATATCTTCTTGACTTTTAAGTTTTATTAGTTTGGTTTTGTTACTAAATAATCGGTACTGTACAATGTATAGACCTACATGTTGTCATTGTCCTTTTATGAAGCATCATTCCAATACAACAAATCATCAATAGGCATTTCTACCATTACGGTATTCTAAATGTTTGTGACATCATTATCTAGACAAAAATAGATTTATATTTCAACGTGAACTTGGTTCACATGCAGTAGATTCCAACCCTAAAAATATAAGCACTGCACTAAATTATAGACGTAGGCCTATTTGCTGTATCCCATTTTGTTGTAAATTATTATTAGGCCTATATATACATAATACATACATACATACATACATACATACATACATACACATATACACACCTACATACATACATACATACACATATATATAGGCCTATATATATATTATATATATATGTATAGGCTTATATATAGGCCTATATAGAAGCGGTTAGCACAGCGGTTGTGGCTCGAAGTCGGGGGTTCGAAACTCGCTGTGAAAATCTTGTGTCCTTAGGCAAGGCATTTTATCTACGGTTGCCTCTCTCCACCCAGGAGTACAAGTGGGTACCTGGTAGGCCCCAACACAACTGCGCTGAGTACTAGCTGCAATATATCATGGAATAATAATATAATTTAATTTAATAATTTAATTTGGTGTTCAATGTGCTCCATATGTGTTTGACCGGGGTGGAATGTAAAGCGCTTAGAGGCTTTGTACATGAAGCGCTATATTATTATTAAACGACATATTATTATTATTATTATTATTATTGTTA